TGATGTGACAACACGTTTTGCTTTGGACTTTTCAGTCTTTCTCTGAATGTACAGGTAATGGAGTGATGGGGGATCCTCTCCACTTGTCACATAGCAAGGAGACTGACTCTCAGGGGGACGTGTTGCAGTCTTCAATTAAGATGGAATTTAGGCTGTGTTTCTGCTTTGATATCAGATACAATTACTTGCATTCATATCCTGCTGTTGCTTTTGTTTCCTGTAGCCAAATATTTTTTCTCTTGGAATGGACATATTTATTCTTAATCATGAAAAAATGTTTAATTGATCATCCATTTTTTCCTTCCAATTTATTTTATTCTTATTTTTAGCCAGACACTAGAAAGCTCTATCCTGGCCTCTGGATGGAGGAACTCTGGAATCTTATTTTGTATAATGGTATAAACTAAGAGTTTATAATCTTTGGTCCTTAAATTCAAGAACTTGATTTCTAAGAGAGGCCTTGAAACTAACATTCCAAACTCTGGTTAAACAGAGAATTCAGTTAACTAAGCTTGAACATCCTGCTAGTCATGATTTCACCACACTTGCTTTTAATGTTCAAAATAGATCTCTTTCAAACTTAAGGGATTCTTCTAGGATTTGGTGAACATTTTGTACCTTTCCTGATTTAATAAACTTCTATTGTGCTTTACCATGCCTTCCTCTCTGAAGATTTAAAGGTTCTCATCTTTTTTGGTATTTATGACAGCGCCACTCTCCAACCGTCCTCGCCATGTTAATTGCCCTCCTATTGATGTTCCTTCTTCAGTCAGGGCAACTAGACTCAAACATGGTATCCTTTTGGTTTTATACAAGGATGAATTGACACCCCCCCCCCTCCAGTGTACCTGTTTAAAGTTCCATTTTGGGGGGCCTCTTTGGCTATACAAGAATGTCAGGGTTGAGATTTCAAAAAGTAGGTTACAGCTATTTCTGGATTTCTTTTCCAAGCCCACAGTTCTTTAAAAATAGAGTTACAATAGAGATTCAGCTCATCTTTAGATTTTTCTCTTTTCATCACTTACCTTTGCATTTCTTTTGCTCCTGTGATCTTCTTAAAAATTGTTTTCTTTTACTTTAGTGGATCTCTCGTCTTGATTTTTAGGGGTGTCAACTTTAACTCTCCTTCTTGCAAGCTTAGAAGTAGTTTTGGGTTTTGTTTGTTTGTTTTTTAAATTAATGTCCTTTTTCTACGCTGCCATTTAGTTACTACCCAGAATTTATACAACTTTGTCCAAGTTGCTGTCTGTACTAAGCTCAACCCCCTCAGTGATGACTGATGACCGAGTCCATCAGGATGCACAGCAGCAGGAATCGCAGGGAAACACCAGCTCTGAGAGCTGGAAGGACCTTCTGAATCACCTAGTAGAACCCCAACCCCAATTGACATCTGAGGATCCAAAGGCCCAAAGCTACACAGCTAGTATGTGGTTAACTGAGACTAAGACGCAGACCACAGGGTCTTCATTTAGTGTTTCTTCCACCCATAGCATGCTGCTTTGCCACTCAGCTGAGCAGTAGCAGAGTCTAGACCTGAACCTGCCTGTTCAATTCACTCTCCATAGCTCGCTCCCTGCCTTCCCCCATGTTGCCTATGTCCCTGTGTTCCACTCAGTGTGACATTCTCTTCACTTGCCCTGAGAAAGTTCTTCTTTCTCAACTTGGTTTCTTCATTTGTAAGTTGGAGGAGCCTGGCCTAAGTAAAGAATCCATGGGGCTCTGTCAAGTAAGGTAGGGATTTTCGTGCTCACTTCAGTGGGCGCCGCTACCACCTTTAAAAAACGGTGTCACCGAAGAGCGTGGCTACTTCCTGCACCCCTGGGGAGAGAAGCACAGGTCAATGGAATGCGCTTTTCTTTTCCCCATCATCTGACTGTTTAGTGCCCCAATTTCCATCCTAAACTCCAGAGTAGGCCAGGAACCTTACAAATACTCCGAGAAACAAAAACGATAGGATGTACCCAGTAATGAAGAGTGTGCAATTTGCTTGCACTTAGGAAATTAATAATTCCACTCCTTGGCCATTCCTATTTATTACAATCTCAGTGCTGAAATGCTTGCTTCAACTTTTAATACCTCTGAGTGGCATAAATTAGAGAAGCCTTCATTTCCTGACACAGATAGGCTGCTCGATGACGTGGGTTGGGCACTACATATTAAGTGATTTTGTGAGCTGCTTTTTGCAGTTTCCTTTCTCCTTGCTCTACAACCATTCTTAAGTAGAGTTAGCATAGATTTGAATGGATGTATATATAACAACGAACCAACATTCAATGAACCTTATAGGCTCATAATCAATGAGATTTTAATAAAAAGAAATCATAGATTATTCGATTTAGAAAAGGCCACGGGGTTTTTTTAGGTTGTGTATGGGGGATGCCCATTTATTTATTTTATGAATGAGAAGTGAAGTGGCTTGCCCAAAGTCACATCTCACAGTGTTAGTTGGTTAAAAGCATAGGAAATCTAGCGCTCGCATTTCTGCTTCCTATGTCTTAAGGGAATAGGAGCAAGCCACATATGAGCAGATTTCCTCATGGCACCAGTGGAAGCATTCCTGTAGGAAGGACCTATTGTCCCCTCTTTGTGACAGGTACAGTCCTAGGTTGTTGGGTGCATATGGTTGAACAGAAGAACGAAGGCCTGTCGTAGAGCTCTCGGTTTGCAGGGTTGGCCACACAGATGGTAAACCAGTAAGCAAACAAATACTTGTACATAAGTAAAAAGATCCTGTGAAGGTCCCAAAGAAACTTTCAGCGTTCTGTGAAAAGGACTAATGGGGATGCAGGCCGGCTTTGGTTTAGTGCTCTGGGCAGGGCTCGTAAGGAGTGACATTTAAGCTAAAACGCAGGAGCCATTGCTGGAGTAGAAGGAGAATTCTAGGCAGAGGGAACAAGTTCAAAGGCCCGAAGGTAGAAAAATAAAGTTTGAGGCTGTTTGGGGAACTGAAAGACTAATGGGAGAGGGACAGGGGAAGGGGGGCATGAGGTGAGGATAGAAAAGTAGGCAGGGACCAGGTCATGAGTCATCAATATATTTACTAGTTGCTAAATCAAGACCAGTTGCTTCTTACTGAGATCTGTGCGGCTTTCTATGTCTTAAAGGTAGGTGAATTTTAGTTTGATTACCCCAACCTGGAGAGTAACTCAGATGGGATAGCAGAGAAGCAGATTAACCTTCTTCATAAGACTGAAGGCTTTTAAGGTTCCCTAGGCTTTAGCAGTTCTAACAGTCACAAGACACCACTTCTCTGGCTCAGCCCCAACTAGCAGAACACCTGGACCTTTGTGCCCTATCCCCCACCCCCTGCCCCACCCTCTAAGCTGCTTTGGGAAGTCCTCGGATCACATCACACACGGTTCCTCCCTACTGCCAGGTGGTGGCCCCACTGTGTCATGCTCTTTTCCACTGATGTGGGCTCTGTGAGCACCCCTGACGTGGGCTGGGCTGCTTCGATGCCTAAGCCCACTCTTGGCCTTAACTACTGCTAGTTCTTGCCTTCTTTCTGATAGGCAGTGTCTCTCTCTGCCCTCTCCTAATCTGAGTTCCAGCCTTCTCCACCAGTTTTCTTGCTGAAGTGGGAGAATCTTTTCATTTGTGTAACCATTCTCCTTTCTTTAAACTCAATTTGACCAGGAGTTGGGATAGAAAATAATCTGAAAAGTACTCCTGGTACTGCATTTGGATCTCCCCTCCCCCTTTGGCCCCTTCAGGCTTTTTCCTCCTGTGTATCTTGCTTAGGAAGTATTTCTTCCTAGTAGGCATCTTAATCTTTGTCACTTCTAGCCCCAAACTCCATTTTCTCTCCCCCCTCCCAGGCATGCCTGAACCTGAGGGTTGCACAACTTAGACTCCCAAGCTAGGATTCTGACCCTTACCCAAAACTGTGGGGGCCAGATGTGTTTCAGAATTTATAAGTTTGGGATTTTAGAATGAAAACGTGGCATGTTACTTTGGCACGCTGTAATCAGGTACTGCTTCTAAAGCACAGCATAAGAATATTCACACTAAGTGGGATGCATACACAAAGACTACAAGTGGTCTCATGTCAGTTAAGTTTTGCCTTTAAAGAGATTTGCCATAAACTTAGAAAAAGTGTTCAGTTTTTAGACTGATAAGGGATTATGAAACTGTATCTTTGTGTATATGTACGTAAGCATGGTCGTTAGAATTTCCCTGGCTTAATCATGAAAACTCATTTAAAACGAAATATTACCTTCCCCTCTCTGGAGCCCTGTTCATGAATCCATTCAGGTTAATGTGACTTCCGTCCTTCCTCCATGTCTGTGGGGGTTATCATGAGTGACGTTGATGACATGGAAGGGATGTTGGTTCAGCATAAGTTCTCCACCCCAGTACAGCTACACCATCTGGGATGGACAGATGGACCTGCCACAGGAGGATGGCAGGAACCTCCAGTAGCTGCTGTTCTGAGAGAAGATCAGACACGCTTAGAATTCCCTGCAACTTGACTGTGCACTGCATTGTGGATGCCTGGCACTGGGCCTCTGCTCACCGAGGTGACTCACATGCAGCCTGAGAAATGAAATGCTCTTTTAAGCCAAAGTTTCAGGCCAAACTCGATAACATCAACCGCTACAGGTGCTGCATAAAGGCACCTCTGTACACTGATATGGTTGATTCCTTTTTACCCTTTTAAACTCCTTCCTCAGAGTGTACTAGTATAGTTAAACTGACAACGTGTTCATCTGTGATACCTGGAAGTCTCTGTTTTACACATGCACTTCACAATAAGGAGGTTAAGCACATTCAAGCAGGAAATTAAGTTCATGCTGGTCAAGTAAGCCTTTTCTTGACGCTTCTTACTCTTGATCCTTTGAAGAAGAAAAGGTGACATTTAAAATGTCATCCTTAGACTTCTTATGCAGAAGTGCTCAAATTGGAAAGGGAAATTAGTATGTTTTCAGAGTTCTTAGAATTCTTTTGAACAGTAGTTTGAAAGGTTTAATTTACTCTATTCACCGTTGTTTACATTCTAGAAAATGAAGAGGTCAAGGAAACGACTTTACGAGAGCTTAAAATGCTTCGCACTCTCAAACAGGAAAACATCGTGGAGCTGAAAGAAGCTTTTCGTCGGAGGGGGAAATTATACTTGGTGTTCGAGTATGTTGAAAAAGTAAGTCACTCATTGATGCTGTGGAGATTTGCCTGGGTCTTCTATTTAGGGCTGTTTCTGACCCAGGCAAGGAAGTATTATCTAGTATGATTTGTCAATGTTCTCACAATCTGAGGACTTTCAAAATAGAAAGCATTACCCATAATCATTAGAGGAGTCCTGAAATATACTGACGGGTTTTATGCAATTTAACTGTATAGATCTAATGTTAAGTTTAAACAGTGTATTGACTTGGCTCCTGAAGCCTGAGAATCTGTGTTCAGCAAATAATTTTTAGACTTGGTTTATTTTAATTAAGCCTAAGCAAGGCCACTGAGGGAGAGACAAATAAATGGGCAGTGATGGTACAGGATGGTAGAGGTACTCGTGAGACACCTCACAAGCATAGGATGAGTGGCTGAATCAGACTGATGGCGGTGAATGGGTGGGCTCATGAGCAGCCTTTGTGAGTTGCCAGTGCTTTGGCTGTATTTGAGGGAAGGTGTGCCAGGAGGCATAAGGAGAGGCTTGAGAAGGTAGGCAGGTGAGACCACAGGTAACGGAATGGGAAGCATGAGAGAAAAGAAGAAAATCACACATTAGGGTTGTCTGTGTACTTGGCTTTAGTATACTTTTTAAAAATTGTTAACTGTTAGTGACAGCTTTAATGATGGGACCTAAGGGCAAACGTACACTGCAGGAGTCCTTTTTATGTGCCTATGATTTTCTTGGACAGCAGCTGACCTACAATAGTTGGTTATTGTCAAGGACTTAAATCTGTGCCTTAACAAGAGGAAAATAAACTGGAGCCAGATGGGCCTTTAAAGGTTACCTTGATCATTAAATGGGTGGCTCTGCTGATTTCCTGCTATTACCTAAAGAAGATTGAGACTGGAGAAGTTTATGCTTGCTCCAGGTCAGTCCCAGGTGCTTTCTGTGGCATAAATGACAGCATCACCACCACCACTGTCATCGTCCTGAAATGGGAAGCAGTGCTGCTAGGATGGCTGACCAGTAATGTGGCTTCCAAATTAATTCAGCCCTTACACACTCTTTTTCTAATGAAAAAAATATACAGTAGCTTCATTACAAGCAAAAGTTGAAAACTTACAAGGCTCTTTGTTGTTGTAAACACTGTTCTATGAGGATTTTCCCCCTAAAATTTATTTTAAGGTCTCTTTTTCTGTGTCAATTTAGGTATTTTCCTAAGGGACCTTCCCAAAATAAAACTGAAATTTTATATTTTTTTAAAGTTATAAAAAAAGGACTGCTGTAAACTCAGATGCTGTTTAAATTATTTTTCAGTTGTCAAAAATAATCATGCCCTTTGCAGTGTTCACTGCCAAATAATAAAATTCTGACAGCTATTTCAGTTTATCCTTTTTATTTCTCTTCTACTCATGATTGTTCATGATTGATAACATTTAGTAAGAACAAATGCAGAAATCATCTCTTTGTTTCAGACAGTCTGTTATATCTAAGACTTGTCTGCTGGTACGAGGCAGAGCTGCTACCAGAACTCCAGTCCTCTGACCCCCAGGTCTGGGATTCTTGCCCTGGCCCTGTGTTTTTTCAGTGGAAGGTGACCATCACTCAGTCCCGTCAGTGGCAGTGCCTAAGGATTGATGACTCTCAAAAGGGCAAGGAGCAAGATGCTCTAAGGGTAGGGGGTTGTAACAGATGCAGGATCACAGGCGCTGAAACGAAACAAATTTTTTTCTCACATACAAGTGCAAAGGTGGGCAGTACAGGGCTGGTATGGTAACTCTGCAGCCGCAGGAGTCCCCGGTTGCTTCTGCCTCCTGCTCACCACCCCTGAGATGGACCCTTGTCCTCACAGTCATGATAGAGCTCCAGCTATCACATCCCACTGGCCAGGACTTAGTTGCATGGCCACATTAGCTGCAAGGCAGAGGGGCAATGTACTTACTCTTCATTCTGGCCACCTATACATCTGCTTACAAATTGTATTACTGTGGAGTGAGAGAAGAGTGAATTCCTCTCTGCCACGGAAGGATTTAGTGTTGACTCTGAAATGAGACAATTTATTTTCTCTATTACAAAGCCCTTCTAGTCCTCCTGTGCCTTTGGGACCTCCTATGCATTTGTTAATTGAAAAAGGCAATTCAAGTGGAGAGTCATTTAAAAAATGGTGTATATGTACTTTAAACATTTTCCTTGAACTTAAAATAAATAAATATAGATTTCCCACCTTCAGAGGTAGGGTCAAGGCCTTTTGAGTACTAATCTTCTGATTGGTGTTCTGATGGGTCTTTCTTGCATACATCATACCCATGATGCATCTACTACGATATCCTGTGCCAGCTTCTTTAAAGTGAAGCAAAAGCTTCAAAACATCACCAAGCAAGATCAGTGCAGACTCCTGAGCGCCACCTCACCCCATCCTTGCCAGTGTTTCATGATTGTTGCATTCACATTTGATTAGAGGCTAGTATGTTTGGTGGCTTTCCTTTACTAAGTCTTTCCAAAGTATGAAACTTAATTTTCTTATAAATAGCAACTCTCTTTTCTTAAAACATTATTTCATTGGTTTATATGATATTTAGTTATATTAAAATAACAAATGCATCTGTTATAAATAGGTATGGCTGTGTTGTAAACAAAAGCTGACTGTTTATATGTACACGACTTGACTGGTGAGAACAAAATTGTATGTTGTATGGGAAGAGCGGTTTTCTAACTTTTTGGTCTTTGGACTCCTTTACACTTCTAAACATTGTTGGGAACCCTAAGAGCATTTTATTTATGTGAGTTTTATATATTAATATTTCTCATATTAGAAGTCAGACTGAACAATAGAAAACGATTTATGAACTCATTTAAATAACATAGATACGTTTGAGTGTCAGTCATTTCAAGTAAAAAATGGTGTTCCACAAGAAAAGTGGCTTGTTCAGTTTGCAGCTCAATTGCCCAAGTGCTTTTCCTCAAGACGACCATCACACTTTGATGTGCTTTATGTGTATTCCTCACTTTATCATGTAGATCCCTAAAAAGACATGTACTGGAGAATTGAAATATAATAAAAGTGGTAATTTTTACTGTTTCATCACCGACATCCTTAATGAAAACTGGCTTGTTTTTATTTTAACTGCATGGGTGTGGCATTGAAGAATCCAAAGCCTTCATTCATGCTACCCACCAACTTACGCATCGTTGCTTTGTGCCATAAGTGTAAATGCCAGCATAGTGGAAAAGGCTGAGTGTTATTATGACTATAGTTTTGACTTCATGAGCCCTCTGCAATGTCTGAGACCACCGCCAGAGAACCACAGGTCACACTTTGAGAACTATTGTCCTAGATGGTCATCTACAAACAGTAAACTTGAACGGTGCTGTGAGCCTTAGTCTTGTGCTTTACAGAGGGAATGGAGAATGTTTGGTTAATCTGGGAATTTAGTGAGGCTGGTTAACTGGAGTTTGTACTTAATAAAAAATTTCCATAAATTTTCGAATGGTCACTCCAGACTGAGATTTTTCAAGACTGATTTTTTGGAGTCTGTGAATTTTTATTTCAGCAGTATTTTCTAACCTGTTTTAATTTTTATACTGATTGTATTGATCACTGCTAATCTTAGGGATTATTTCTTTTAAGACTGTTCTCAAGGTCTCCCAGGAATATTTTCAAGGCTTGATTTTATTGCAAAGTTATATTAAAGATGCACAATGCACTATTAAAATGACCTCCCCCCCC